AAATTGAGATTATAGTCTTATGAATTAACTTTTAAAATAATTTGCACCCTCAGAAACCCCCAAGAAGGTAGTTCCTATATTACTGAGCAGATTGACAATTTGATCCAGCTTTGGCATAGTAGTAGAGAGTTAGGACAGCCTTATGGCTTGCAATTTTAACACTCAATTTAGGTGTCCAGCTTAGGACACCTTTAAAAACCTGTTTGAGAGTTACCAGTACTTGAATTGGTTCCCTTCAGGTGATTTCGGTTCATTTGTGAGTTGAAAACTCTGGCTGCACTTGCTATTTCTGTATCTACTTTCTCCCTGAAGGTTTTAGCACAGAAAAATATTACTAATACTTTTTTTGTATTCAGAATCTCCTGTCATGTTTCAGTACTCATAATGCTTTAATAACAAAATCATGCAAGATCCTTACCCTTACAGAATCTCTCTTACGTTATTTTATGTCCTTTCATTAGGGATGTTTTGGGAATATTGAAGCGTGACAAAACATACAAGAGTGAAATTACTTTAATAGGTATTATCAGAAGGGGAGAGAAGCTTGAAGAATAGCAGCACACCTAATCAAATACACTGTGCAAAACTGAAGCTCCAGAGTGATGGCTGAATGTTAGAAAGTGCCTTTGAATTTTCTGAATTCTTGCCTTGCTGGGTGCTTCTATCACGTGCTACAGCAGCGAATTTCCAGCCACTTCAGTTTGCCACCCCTTCTAACCTGCCCTGTATCTGGGTCTTTGTTGGTACCCGTAGGATTCCAGGGGAACAGGCAGCACTGGTCGACAGGTACCCCTGTAATCACCCTCGGCACAGATGAAGAGACCTGAGTACATTCAGAAAAAATGCTTTAACCAGAGCCTGTTACACAAAGAGCGGGGAATAATTGACAGCTTCCTGTGCTGAATGTGCTGGCTAGTTAAGATCCTTGGTTCTACAGTTCTCAGCTTCTGATAAGCCTTTACAAAAGAATCTGGAGAACTGCAGATTAAGGATAAAAATCAAAAGAACACGCTGTAAATTTCTGTGGTTCAAACAAAAAGGATAATTCAAAACACTTCAAATATCTTGAAGGAACAGTACATCAACTCACTTAAACAGAATAAAAAAAAGCCCCAAAATAACAGTTTGATAGCAACTGCAATTAGCAGAAAAGGAAAAACAAGAGCTATTTTGACTAGAATAAAGAAGAATTCAAACTGCTGCAAAAAAAAATCTCAGCATGAAATGGAAGGGTCACATCCAATTCATCCCTGTTATTAGAAAAAAAGAGTCATTAGAGTGCCAGTGGGAGTTGTATCAGAGAAACTCATCGAACTCTTTAAGATCTGTGGATAATGGGAAAGACAGAATCAGGTGGTTCTCTTCTACTGTGGTTAGAATTTGTGCAGAAATGCATACAAAAGCCTTAATCCTGGCTAAGATTAAAACTACAGCAGAAGCAAGCCATTTTATTACAGCTTTTACAACATCAGCATTTATAAAGCACCTTTTCTAAGTAATGTTATTGAAAGTAAAATAAATGTCAAGTCTTAAAGTCTTCCTGTTGTTCCCATAAGGAAAGCAAAAAAAAAAAAAAGCATGAGAGGATCTCAAGGATTTGATGATTTTATAGCAAAACCTACGGTCTCCACTTAGCTCTGTGACTTGTACATGAATAACAGCAACTTAAAGTAGATTAGAGGGGCTGTTATGGACTTAGGTTACCCAGAATGATAGCTTTACTGAGAGACCTTGTCAGAGGGGTTTAGACATTTTATGAAGATTAACTGAGTAAGAGGTTTTTATAGGTGGTACTTTTTGTATTATAATAGAAATCCTGATGTAAAAGGCTGTAATCTGCTTTAGGCACCTCCAATGCAGATGTCTGCACCCAAGCCTGTTATCTGTCTTTACAATCAGTGGAAATAAGGAGACACTCCATGTTCCAGGCATTTTATCTCAGGACAGGATAAATCTCACTTAGGTTGCTGGTTTTCTCCCTCAATTGTTAAGAAAGTCTAGATAAATATTAAACAGGTATTCTCTACTAACTGTAAAAAACAAAGTAGCTGCTTTACCTCCCAAGACAAATTGCCAGGTAACACAGAAGGAAACTTCATTGAAAAATAAGCGCTTTAATGATGTTTAGTATGATCATGGTGACTATACTGATTCCACAGACTAAGAGATAAAAGTACTTTCCAGCACGACAGTTTTTGTTATCCAAAATGTTGTAGTTTTCCTTTTAAAAATACAGAAATGGAACATAATCTCAATCTCCACTGATACAACGATAGGATTGGACAGACACAGGGCAGCTGAAGTAGATGGCACATTTTCTACACTGCTTTTTTTTAAAATTTTTATTTTCTTTAAATTGAAAAATGGGTCCAAAGAAGACTGGTATATAAAGCAGTTTTAGGACATCTTGTGTAGTAAATCCTTCTTTATGTAGAAAAAGCCTTGGATCTATAGGTTTTATAGAAGTCTCTCTCATATCACACAGACACCATATTTTTATTGCACTGAGGTATGAAACATTTGTATTAACTTTTGAGAGGGTTTAGTTTCACCATTTAAAACCTGCATTTTACCAAAATCACACTCTCTTCTTTAATGTCTCACCTTCCATTTGATGTAACTGTCAACTTTTCTTTCAGACATTTGGTTTATGTTTCTGGAGAGTTTGGAAATTTCTTGCATTTCCTCTACTACACAGAGTGAAGCTTTTTCACAGGCAGTAAAAAGTCACAGAGGATAGATAACCCTCTAGAGTTTTTAGAGGTATGTCTCAGTTCCATGTTACTGGAACCAGACTCAGATGGCTGTGATGTATTTCTTGTTCTCTTCCCCTAGAAATAATATATTTAGTTTCATGTGCCCCATATGAATTTGTCAAGTTATACAGAATTGTAGAATGGTTTAGGTTGGAAGGGACATTTAGAGCTCATCTGATCCAACCCCCCTGCAAATGGCAGGGACATCAACTGGATCATTTTGCTCAGAACCCTGTCCAACCTTGAATGTTTCAAGGATCCGTCACCTCTCTGGTCAAACTGTTCCAGTGTTTATGACCCCTCATCATGAAAATCTTCCTCATATTTAGTCTGAATCAAGCCTCTTTAAGTTGAAAACCATTCCCCCCTTGTCCTGGCTCCAGGATGCCATTGAGCAATGCTAACATGTCTGTCCCCATCTTTTTTATAGACCCCTTTCAAGTCCTGAAAGACCACGATTAGGTCTCCCTGAGGTTTTCTCCAGGCTGAACTGCCCCAATTTTCTGTCTTTCCTCCCAGGAGAGGTGTTTCATCCCTCTGATCAATTTTTTGGCCCTCTTCTGGACCTGTTCCAACACGTCCCCAATTTACTTGCCAAGGACCCCAGAGCTGGATGCAGGACTGCAGGTGGGGTCTCATGAGGGCAGAGTAGAGGGGTTTTTCTCTACTAAAATACTTCTTTTTGAAGAGGAAAACAAAAAAGCAACAAGCATTTTTAGTTTGTAAAATTTTCCAAAGTTTATTGAGCTGTTTGTTTGTTTGTTTAATTTTAAATACATTTTATGTAGTGCATTTGTTGCAGTTCACTAAAGTTGAAGCAGGGATATTTAGCTGAAACAAAGAATGACTCGGTGTGATACTGTGCACCTTAGTTTTGAATGAAAGAAGAACTCTTGGTTTTTCTCAAGTTGGTTTACAGGAGCTGCAATATAAAATTCTTTGTAGAACTAGGTGAGGTCATTTTTGTGCTAATGTCAGCCAGTACTAAGCATATTTTAGCACAATAACCACTGAAAAGAACCTTTGTGTTACTTATTCCATAGGAACGTTTTGTCAAATATCCTCATTCATACGTAGAGTCCTTGCTCTCGCTAAATGCTGCTTTATGGCAAGTACTCCTTTCAGGTATTGACTGACTAACAAATTGTAATAAATTATATGTACCCACTGAGAATGATGAGTAGGTCTGCATACAAAAATGTATTGATTTTTCCCTTCTCATCCTTGACAAAACACAATGTCAATAGAAAGAAATGCAAACCCCAAGTTTTGTTGCCACGGAAAAATAGTTATAAATCCATTTCCTCCTCCGCCTTCCCCTTTTCTTTTTTTTCTGAATTGAACCAGGAGGGTAAAATTTTTATAGATTCAAAAGTGATTTGTCATCTGTGAAATGAACCCTCAAGCTATAAAGAAAATTGCTGTGGGATGATGCAATAGAGCTCTGCAAAGATGAGAGTGAAACAAAGAGGATGGGAAGGAATTAGGTGGTCAGTGCTAATGTGGTGACTGGGATGTCCAAGATAAAGCAAACTTAGCCAAAGGTTCTTCAGACCAGAGGCAGGAAATCTTTGGAATTTACTGTCAATGCTTTGCGTGGTTTCAAAGGCAGACTGGACAAGTTCATGAGGAAGAAATCTATTTATAACTACTAAATAATCAGAACCTAGAATTAGTTCAGGAATCCCACAGCATGGCCTTTAAATAGTTAAACTCAATCCCACAGCCTGTGCCATTAATGGAATGTTAAAATAATATTGGATTCATATAAAGACTTGCAGGGTTTTTTTTGCCATGGGAGAAGTGGAGCTGATGAAGTAGAAATATTGACCAGCTGCTGCCTGGTCATTGAAGCTGTAGGAATTTCAGAATCTAGGACTGTGTTGGGAGCAAAGGGGAAATCAGGTCAAGTTAGTATGCAAATTCAAAAGAAAGCAGCTGCCAGTGAAGACAGGCATGTTGTGCTTTTGCTTAAATTGTTCTGGAATGACCAATGGGCAGAACACACACAGGTGATGTACCTGGTAAATATTTGCTCTCATTTAGAGCCCTTATTTTACCTTGCTGATCCAAGATAGTTAGTTAGCTTGCCAAAAATGTTCTTTTTGTTTAATGATTTACCTTTAAAAACAGTTGGGCACTTGGACAGTTATACATCAGCTAATTGGTTTTTATGGTCACTGCCCTTATTTCCTGAAAGGTACTTGGTTTTTACAAACAAATAACATGTTTCCAGCCATTAAGGCCATGAAAAATGCTCAAAATCAGAAGAAACAAATGTCAAGCCATGCAGGTTGGTCTTTTCTTGAGATAAGATTGAGAACTCCTAAGCTCTGTTCATTTCAATAGGTACTAAATGAAAGTTAAAAATCAGTTTTTAATGTCAACATTATCTTGTTACTAATCTTCATTTATCTTGTTAGTGACACAGTGGATTTGTCACAAAAATATCTCTCTTCCCTTGAAAATGTGAACACTTTGCATCTACCTATTACTCCCTCTTTGCTACCCCCAATATACCTACAGCAATCTTCAGAGGTATGGTTTGTTCTCTGTTTTATTTCTAAAAGGAAGGTGGTGTCCCTCAGATAATTATTTGCTCATATTGTTTGAAGAATTATTATTTTGTGAAAATACATATACACATTTTATACCACAGTATTCCTGAGTGAAAGAAAAAACTATTTACCTCCTGTAGCTGATGCATTACCAACACTATTGGTTTTGGTTTTTTTATTTAAGGGCATCTTTTATGTGTTGTTGCAAAATAAGCTTTCCAACTTGTACATTATCTGCTGGTAGGGGATCATCCAACAAATACATATCTCTGTTGGCACAAACAACAGGAATAAAGATGATTATTTGTTTCTGATCATCAGAAAGGTGGAGAGCCCCTTCATCTATCCAAGAGGATGAGAGAACCACATAAATTAGAGGACAGACACTTTGAAAAAACCCTGTATCATAGAAGATGGTTCTGCATTTATAATTGCAACTGATCCAAGATTACAAGGCTGTGTCCATAATTAGATGAGGATTTACTTACCGAATATAATTTCAGCATTCCATGGAGCAAAACCATGAAATCCCACACAAATGTTGTGAGGCTTATTTCTGTGCCTTTGTCTTTTTTGTTGTTAGTGCTGCATTTGCTGGTTTTCACATTTTCATGAAAAACCATTGTCACTTGTATCATGATTTTTGATAATTTTGCAAATATTATAGTTATAAGAAAGTATTGCCTCAGAGATAGGCATAACCTGATAGACATGTTCCTGAACCTTAAGTAAATTTACAGCAAATTTAGATTTTAACTTCATGTCTTTTGTTACTTCAGCTATTGTGTCTGTAGTTCAAGATTCACTGAAATTAAAATTTTTAACAAAAAAAGATGTATCAGCACAGTGAATTCTGTAAAAAAAAAGAAAAAGTATAGCTGTCTAAAGCTGCTAAAAGACTGTGTTAACAGGAGGGAGAAAAGAAAAGGTAATATGCAATCTTGTGTACATTAGTAACTTACTTTTAAAATTACTTCAAAGCATTCTACAAAATGGTTGCATATTTACTAAAATTCTGCATATTGTTCTCGATCTAATTCAGCTGAATCACATGAACTTTTTCCTTTAATTTTCAATATCAGTACTTTTCAGAGATGATCAATGGGTGGTAAAAAGGTCAGACAGAAAAATGGGTAGAAAGGTTCTTTACGATTTCAGCTACCCCTCCAAAATAAATTATGGCTGCAGTACAGCATCTGATCCCAAATATTTTTGAAGACTCTAGTCCTGTCTGTCCCAAATCCGAAATAAAAATTGCAGTTATCAGCTGTTTAGTCACAATATACACCTGAAGGAATTAGTATATGAGCTTCAGTGGGGAGCCAAGAGGGATACAAGTTTATAAAACTTCTGTTTAAATGTACTCTTCTGACAGCTCCTTCTCTAGCTAAGGAATAGAAAAAGACCTTTCTCAGAACAGGTCAGGTCAGTGAATAACTGATCTATTATAAGTTGGCATAGAGATATCTCCTCTTCAGTTGGGAAGTGGGTCATTCTTATTCCAAGTTTTTTGAAAGAGAAGGGTGAAATCTTAAGGGAAACAAAGTGACTGTGTAACAGTGTGCTCTGATTGCATCACTTTTAGTACTGATCACATTAGCATTTGCTCTGATTATTAGGAATAACTATATAATTTCAAATGCATGCTTCTGGAGTAGCTGGATTCGTTTAATCAGTCTTAGTATAATTTTTCATTTGCATTTTGAATCCCTTAATGCAGATCAGGGATTAGTCACTTCTAAAAAAAAATTATGTCTAATTTCAAAACATTTGAGAGTGTTTGCTCTTAAATGCACGCTTAGGAAAAAAAAAAAAGAAAAAAAAGAAGGCAAAATTCTGTAGATAATTCACCATTTGGAAATAACTTACTTAAGCATTCAGTAACAGATGTTTAGCAGCTGTAATATGGTACAGCTTCATTCACTCCAGTTTCCCCCTGCTGAGACACTGGCCCTTGTTAATGGACTGTAAATGACTCTCAGACAGTCTCCACACTGAAATGGCCGAAGGGAACACCACCATCCTCCTGAGCCTGCTAACAAGAGTTTCCTCTCACAAAGATGCTCAGTAAACCTTTCTGTATTTCTCTGGTTCTCCATCTTGATTTCTTACTCTGGTAGGATGTGATGTAACTTGATTGCCAAGAGTGTATGAAAAGTATTAAAAGACGGTAAAACTTAGAGCTTTTAGAAGTACTATTACCTCCAAAAGGTGTAGATACTGCATAGTTTATATGAGGTTATTGGAGGCATTAATAAATTTGCTATAATAAGATTGCTCCTACAACACAGCTTTGGGTTCTCTTCACTTAAAAAAATATAGAAATTTTAAAATCTAGTCTTACTCTTTTATTCTTTGTCCTTTTTTTCTTAAATGGCAGTATAATTGCTTGCATTTTAGTATCAATTGTAATACTCCCTTCAGTTGTGTCTCCATGAGGAAGAATTTCCATTCCTAACTCCAGGACGCATATCAACTGCATAACTGCATCTGAAAGAAAGAGTTCAGCATTTCTTATTTTTCATCATCTCAATAAAATCTCATGCATTTTTATTAATTATGGCATCTGTGCTCTGAAACAGTGCTTTGAACCATACAGATATATGACTCAAATCCAGTTCTTCATCCAGCTCTCATGTTTTCTCCATAAAATTGCAGCTATTTCATGCAGTGAGACCTGTGGTATTCTCATTCATTCTTAAATTATAGCTTTGTATGAGAAGAAATAAATTGTTGCACTCTCTAGCTTACATTTTATACAAGAAGCACTGTTTGAACTTTTGAGCATTTACAACCCAACAAGGCATCAGCTCGACATAAGCTTTTACTCAGTATATACAATGCACAGATTTTTTTCCTGTAACAGGCCAGTTTGCCTTAACAGTCAGGGTACAGATTTATCAGGCTGATTGTTTGCCTGTTTCATCCCATTTTCACAGACACTGTTACCTTTGCTAGTTGTCCTGAGCCAACATGGGTATGGTTGCCTGTTCAACATTCCCAGTAAGACTGTGTTGCTCCTTATGAATCAGCATTTCAATATTGATGCTAATTCAGGAAAATGGAGAGAGTTTAGAAAACTGCATGCAAAGTTACTTGGAGAATAAGGGAATCATTCATAAGAAAAGATTAAGTGAGTCAAATATGCATGACTTAAAGAAACACCCATGTTTTTTGTAAAGGTCTGCATATCTTTAATAGCAAAGAGGTCATGAGTAGAATTATTAAAGGACTACTGGTCATCTGACTAGAATAAGGAAAAGAAGCAGGTTTGGGGTTTTTTTTAAGTATCTGAAAATCATAGAGAAAATAATGATGGAAAAAAAAAAATCTTTAGGCCCACGTGACCTTTAGCATGCCCTGAGATCAGGGTGGCAAAATGAAAAACTGAGTAACTTTGAGACTGTTTATCATTTCATTGTATGTCATGGTATTTAAGGCAGAGTCAAGACTTTAAAATGGTTGTAATTATGAGCATAATTAGTTTAAGTGCTTGGAACATTTGACCTGGATGTGAAGCAAGTCATAGGTAACATATGCTAGGGAAGGACATGCATGGTGAAAGCAGTAGCATAACTAAGATCAGTGTTTTGGCTTGGTATCCTTTTTAGGTTTTGTTTGGTTTGGTCACCTTAGGAGTAAAATTGGAAAAATATTGTTAAACGTCCCCACTGAGTTAGAAAACTAAATTCAGAGGAACAGAGCTGTGAAAAGAAATCTGTAGTGCGTGAATCTCCAGGTGGGCTACAAAAGACTTGTTCCACTGGGATGGAGCAAAAAAAATTCTACTCTCCTGAGACAATTTCTGACATTTTGGTCTCTTTGCCTCTTATCTTGAGAGAGAATTCAGGAAAGGAATGCATAAAAATCGTTCTATATAAAATGTTTCAGAAACTATAGTAATTCATATTGTTTCTGTGAATTCCTGATATTGGAAAAAAACCCACAATTAAAACTGTGTTCGCTATTTTGAAATCACAATTTTCTATGCCTTAGGTGGTTGTTGCAAAGGCGATTTCCCAGTAGTATTTTGTAATCAATTTAATGCACGTGAAAATCTCATTCTTTATTTGTGTACATTTCTGAGTTAATAAAAATGTTGCTCTTTGAAATTCAGTTGTGAATTTAGCCATCTGCATCTGTAACCAAGCTGTAAAAGTCTTGTTAAAAAATTTCCTTAATACTAAAATAGCTGGAAAAAAATTAACTGAAACAAAGATAACTGGACATGAGTGTTATAAAGTAGAAATGTTACAAACCATGTACCACACCTTTAAAAGTGACATTTTTCATCACTTTTTATGTTGTTTTTTTTCAAGCACATACTCTCCCATGTTAGCTCTGATGTATTTATTTGGTCCTATCACTTCTATTAAATTTTATTTCTAATGATAGTGTTCTGTGGCTACTAAGAGCATTAGTCAAGGTTCCGCTTTTATAATGATTGCTGTATGATAGTGAAGGAACATGGGAAAAAAAGCTTTAAAACCAAAAATGGCTTACTAATGAAAATGCTACATGTTGATTCAGTAGGAATATTTGAAATATATGTATATAATCTATTATTTACTCTTGAAGTGCATATATATGTTTTTAAAACATACAGAAGAAATAGAACTACTGCAATATGAAGTGTTATTATTTTGCACACAAAGTTCTTCTGGAAGCTCTAAAATTTTCTTGATATTTTATCCCGCATCTAGTTGGTTGTTACAGACGGCAGGAACAGGAGCCCTGAGAGGTGAGCCTGCATCCCTCTCGTGCCAAGGGGATGTGTGATTGCCTGGGCTCTGTGCTCTGCCCCTTGTGGGGCTGCAGAGCGGGGGGCAATGACCGTGGGCACGGCCAGGTTGTCTGCGTGGGGCTCCACGGGCTGTTCTGTGAGGGAGGCCAAGGCAGGCCAGGGGGTCCCCTTGCCAGGGATGGGGCCCTGGCCATGGCAACGGCGGGGTGTTGCTGTGTTCCACGGCCTGTGACATCACGCAGGACAAGCCGTGGAACGGTGCTCCAGGGGCTCCAGGCACACCAGGACGCGGCGTTGACACTGCAGAGCAGCTCGAGGCAGCGGTGAGTGGGGCAGGGGGAGCAAGGCTGGGCTGCCCCAGGGCTGCCCACAAGCACTTGGGACCGCCATGGGCGGCTTCTGGGGCTGCAGGGAGGGCACAGGGGCTGCCGCAGCACCTGGGCCACATCCACTTCCACCCATTCCCAGATCCCTGCGGCTCCTACCCCTGCTACCCTAGGGACCAATTTCCCCACCCAGCCCCGCTGAGCCCCTTCTCTCTCTCCTCCTCCTCCAGGCCATGGCTGGGAGCTTCACTCACCTCCTGGTGCTCCTGACCATCTACCTGTGCGTGGGGAGAGCGGGTGATGGAAGAGAAGAGGCCACTCAAGAGCTCCTGCACCAGCATGAGGAGCAGCAGAGGCAGCAGATGGCTTGGCTGCAGGCAGAGATGGAGCAGAGAAGCCAGGTGCTGAATGAGAGGAAGCAGAGGATGGAACTGATGTTTCAGATGAAGCAGAAGAGCCAGATGTTGGAGGAGAGGGAGCAGAAGAGCCAGATGTTGGAGGAAATGGAGCAGAAGAGCCAGATGTTGGAGGAGAGGGAGCAGAAGAGCCAGATGTTGGAGGAAATGGAGCAGAAGAGCCAGATGTTGGAGGAGAGGGAGCAGAAGAGCCAGATGTTGGAGGAAATGGAGCAGAAGAGCCAGATGCTGAAGGAGATGGAGCAGAAGAGCCAGATGCTGAAGGAGAGGGAGCAGAGGATCCAACTACTGTTTGCAATGAAGAAGAGGAGGCAGATGCTGGAGGCTATGAAGCGCAAGAGCCAGATGCTGGAGGAGATGGAGCAGTGGAGCAAGATGCTGAAGGAGAAGGAGAAGAGGATCCAACTGACGTTTAAGATGAAGCAGAGGAGGCAGATGCTGGAGTGGATGAAGTGGAGGAGCCACATGCTGGTGGAGATGAAGCAGAGGAGCCAGCTACTGCTGGAGATGGAGCAGAGGATCCAGCTACTGCTGGAGATGGAGCAGAGGATCCAACTGCTCTTCGAGATGAAGCAGGGGAGCCAGATGCTGGAGGAGACGGAGCAGAGGAGACAGGAACCACCCACAGTTTCCCAAGAGAGCGTGCTCCCCTCTGCCTACCAGCACTGGTGGCTCTGGCTCCCCGCTGAAATCCTCCTGGTGCTCTTGGCCTTCTGCTGGCTGTCCAGGCGCAGGAGCTCTGCCTACAACCGCTCCCACACCAGCAAACCTGTGGCAGGGCTCAGGAGCAGAAGCCTGAGGAGGTGGCAGACGACGCCTGGCAGCACAGACTGCAGGGCCCAGCTGTGTCCCATCAGGGCTTCCCGTCAGCATCTGGCCTGGACGGACATGCAGTCCCTGGGGAAGGGTAGCACCAGGCAGGTGGTCCCTGTGGCCCCTGCATCCAACAAGGCCTTCCCACAAAGAAATTTTGGAAGGTGCTCCCTCTCCGGAATATTTCAATATTCATGTGTAGACCGTAGATTTTAGCAGTTGAAATTTTAGATTTTAGGTTTCTAAAAGTAGATGACATTTTAGGTGTTGAGGAAGTTTTATTTTTAGGTATAGAGTATAAGAATCTTAGTTAAACTAGCAGATTAGTAAAATTGTTCAGAAATAAGAAGTAGTATTTAGAGATAGTGCTTTTCATTTTTATTATAAGCTAGAAGAATGTTAGTAAAGATAGTCCTAGAGTAGAAGTAAAATGGTTCAAATAATAGTAGTAAAATAGTTCCTAGACCATTAGTAGAATCGTTCATAAGTTAGAAGTAGAATTAAAAGATATTGAAGCATCAAGTTTTATGTTCAATAAATGTCTTACGTTATCCTCCAAAACTCTTGTTCTTTGTTGTCATTTCCAGACTTCTTTGTTCAAGAAACCTTTTGGGAGATGGACTTTCCATAGGTGTTGGAATCTGTAAAGAAATAAGCTTCCTTGATTTCAAAAGGGAAATATTTGGTGAATTTTTTTCCAATGTCCAAATTGTGTAGGGCACTTGAGTAGGAAACCCATTAAGGAATAAAATGTGTTTCTTGCACTTCCTTTCTGTGTTCTCCTACACCCTCATCATACTCAAAAGCATCCCTTTAGTGTACACATACCTTTATTTACAAACACTTCGGAAATCCCACTGTTCCACACCTGGCTCCCACTCTTTCTCTGTCCCCATAATTCTGTTGCATCAAGTGCCATATCTTTTTCCTCTGCAGAGTTATAGATGACCTGCATATTTGATCAAGGCACAATACAGCTCTTTCCAGTCTTCATAAATATTAATTATGTTAATTAAATATTAAAGCAAGTAGTAAATCATAATCAAAATTAAAATATTAAATATTTATTGAAGGAGATTTGTGTTGGTGACTCTGAGAGCACATTTCCAGAAATTATCTCCTAGTTAATTTTGTGCCATTTATAATTGTTATGGTAATGGTCCAGCAGCCAATTATGTGTTTCAGACCGATACATTCATGTTCAAGTCATTCTTTCTCCTTGAAATAGATCTTTTGAGCTATATTGAAACCACTGACAAAACTTCTGCTGTAAATTTCTAGTTTGGGGAAGAATGACTATAGCAGAAGACACAAGAATTATCCTGCTCAAAGCCAACACTCGCTCCCAGTTCAAAGCCTGCTGGCCTTGGAACTTGGTCTCCTCCAGCTGACGCTGCTTTGAGCTGGAGGTTTGGACTAGCTGGTCTCCAGGAAACCCTTCCGACCCCAACTATTCTGTGATTGTGTTTCATACCACCTATGCCAGGAGAGTTGGTATTTTTATTGCAAAATTGACACTAATGTACTAGAACATGTAAATGATGATAGAATGGGAAAGGTCAGGTTATTAATGCCTGCACTATTTACTTTTTCCACTGTTTATGCTGCTTATACAGATTTGAACTGCTGTAATTTTCACACACTCAACTGATTTCCACATATTCAAGAAACCTATCTTAGATTATTTTTATTAAACCACCATTGAGAAGAAGAGGATAAAGAACTCGCATAGCTCTGGAAGCATTAGAAACATAGGGTCTGACAGGAATTTCGGCCTCTTGTCTTTTTCTTTCAAGTTTAAAGTGATAAAGTGTCCCTGAAACCTAGAAATCTATGTCTGAAACCATTTACTTTTCATGGAATGGACTAGTCATCACAGGCAAATTTGAACAAAGCCCTTGATGAAACAGGCAGAATACTGAATATGCAGTAAATAAATGTGAGGGGTTTTTTGGTGAACCAGGTCTGAAACTTTCAGATATCAAAATGAATATCCTATTCTGAGACCTCAATTTCTCAAGTAAAATATATCTTAACAAAAATAGGAAAAGTCTGCCTTTCCCCCACCTCCCCCCCGTGTTAGTGTTAATAGGACCTGATTTTATTAGCTTTTATTTCTGGCCTCATTTTTGTTCACTTATGAGGATTCTGTTCCACTTGAAATTGTGGAGGCTGAGGTTATAATCATCAGCCTAGCACAGCTACCTATTTGAAATAGCTGATCTAACAAAAAGTGAGGCTAAAAAGAATCAAAATGTGTAGGTTTCTGTTAATTTTTAAATTATGCATTTGTAATGTATCTGCTGTCACCATGTTTTGTCAGTTAACTTCCTACAGCCTAATATTTCCTGAAAAACTTGCTTGCTGTTTCTGCTGTTCTTTTTTAATGTAGCAATTTAGAATTAAAAATAATTATCCCCTTACTTTTCAACAATTGTACTGTAAATGATTTTAAACCTAATGTGGAATTAAATGAAAAAGAAAGATGGTGAATGCAAATAATACACGTGCCACCTACTATTGGACATATGGATTGATATTAAAACTATATTAAACTACATTCTATAGGCTCAACCTTTATTAATCTAGTATAGGTACAATTTATAAATATTTATGTTGAAACAGATGGAGTTAAAGAGAATTTGGAGTAAAGCCGTCAGGATTTCCATCTGTTTCTATGTGGAAACTACTTTTAAAAAATTCAATTATAAATTGTATGCATTGTACAGATAAAAACCCCCAACCAAAAACCCAACAGTTAGCAAAAAGAGATGTTCATTTGTGTGTAAATTAAAAGAAGGATAACCAGAGGTCTGCTGTTGTACATCTTTATTTATCAGCAGCCAATCAGTGGGTGACAGGTGCAGACCAGGCCGGGCTGGGTGAGACTGTTCTCACTGTGCTGCCTCTTCCAGCTGTGGCCACAGATTGCTCTGGAATGTGCAAGTGCTCAGCAATTTAATGTGCCTTAGACTGAATTAATGGAGAAGAAGAAAGCCATTGCTGTCATCAATACTTGCATGCCAGAATCGAACCTGATGGGCTTTCTGTACCTCAAGTGACAGGAGAATACGCTCCTCCCTTCTTGAGCAGCAAATAAATAAACAGGATAAAAGCAGCTTCTGCCTTCTCCTGTTCTACATTGCCATAACTTAGGGGAAAATAGCTTATGTGAAAAGGAACCTGCATGGCACGTTTTCACTCCATCAATATTGATGTTTTCCAGAGGTGACTGCATAAAACAGTAGAGATTGTTTGTCTCTCTGGTAAAAGAGGGTATAAAAGTAAAGGACTGTGAGGAGAACAAAGTGGAGTAAAATGTCAAGATTTATGCAAAGATTTGGGGAAATCAAGAGTGCTTTTTCATCTCTGAATTTGTAGTCCACTTTGGTACTCTTTCAGGATTGTGGTTTTTCTTCCTATCCTGAATAATTAATCCCAAAATGGGTGATTGGTTTATAGACGGAAGTTATTTTGTTAATGGGAGTTGCTGTCTTGGATGTTATCAGAGAAGCTGCTGATTAAATGGAAGGCTCTTTACTCAGCACCATTCTGGGAAGCATTCTGTACCCTTCCTGCTTCATCATGAAGCTGCAATGTCTGCCCAGCTTAAGAAAATGATGCACATCACAGTGACTTGGTAAATCTCCTATCTGTAAACCAAAAGAAATTCTCAGCTATTTAATGGACACTTCATAATGTCCAATAGTTCTGTCTTTCTCTTCTACGTGTCCTTATTTACAGTGGTTTTTGGCAAGACTCCCAGGAATTTTTGAAACTGATAAGCATTTTTAATTTTTATAATAGATACTGAAAATAAGTTTGTACACATGGAAGCTTTACAAAGAGGCAATGGCTAAAAACAAATGTACTTATATTTGCCATTTTTTGTATATTCTCTGTCATAATATTCTACCAGAGGGCCAACTGGGTAAAAATGTAAAACTGTGGATGCTGTTGTGCTATGAAATTCTATGAAAATTAAGGTGGTTTAAATTTCATTTCTGTACATTAGAGGAGTCAGCATAAAGTAGCAGTGTTGTCATGTACACATGATATGTTTCTGCTATGGAGATTTCAGAATTTCAGACAATGAAGTCATTGGCTCCCTGACCTGAACTTACACAACCATATTAGAGAGGAAATTGGTTCTCGTGTATAATTTCCTGAAACATCCTTAGGGAGTACACAGTTAGGATTACTTAGTGGCTTTAAATAAATGCAGCTGCTAGAACAATATTTGTAATATTTGGCAGCTTTCAAATATTTTTAAACATGAAATTATGGATAACATTTTGGTTAAAGACTCCACTCAGTCTGTACTGTGATCAAAACTGGCAATGAGGAGCTGGGTGTCTGCAGAGCACGGCCTGTGCCAAATGGCAGAGTGCAGATACAACAGCAGAGAATGACCAGCATGAAAAGGATTATTTTGCTAATTCAGAGAAAGGTAACTGCTTCTATTCAACTTTATTTTTTGAGGGTTTTCCCTCTGAAAAACTGAATAATGTTGAAAAACCTTGGTTGAATAACTGAAAGCAGAGTAGGTTGTGCTTCATGTAGGTACTCATTATCCTGCAGATTTGAAAAGGATCAGGTAGGAAAACATTCTTGAGTTGATTGATCTACAGTGTGCAGTTTATATGCTGACAAATTACTGGAAACAGAAAAGTGACTAAATCCAGACCACGCAGTCTATTCAGTTGCTAAGAAGCAAAGGCAAAACTCCTATTCATCCCCAAATTTAACTGCAATTATGTCTGTGTAATAATTCTGGGCTCTGTCCCACAATCTGTGTGGACCTTCTGTCAGGTCAAACTCTAGAATTACTCTAGAACATTTGCATGCCAATTTTAGGTGGCAGTCAGCAAATTTCATTTGAACTATGGGAAAGAAAATGCTCCCTCTGGTAAGAGGAACATAAAAATGGGATTCTGCAGCTCCTTCAAACTGTTGCTTCATTAAAATATTGACTACAAATAGGATTGAGTTTGACTTGGGAGAGTATTCACTTCAAGCTGTGGCAGTAATTCCATTATTTTCCATGTTTCTCTTCTTTGGTGACAATTTTCTTGGTTTCAGGAGAAAATTTACCCCTCTTTGTTACAAGCCAATTTTTTTCCATTTTTGAGGTTAAAAACAGAGAAGGACTAAGCTTACAAAACCATACCAAAAATATCTGAGCTTCAGATGTGGCCCTTTCAACTCCTTCAATCAGTTATATTATAGTAAGGAAAGATATTTTTATCTCTTCCTAGCAGTTCCCTAAAATGGTTGATTTGGCAGTGTGCAGATTAAAGAAAGAAAAAAGATATATTCCAGGTAGTATGACACTGTGTGCAGCAAAACTAAGTTTGAGTGAAATTCTTTTTCAATTCCTTCAGCTGTATCCTCATCTGAGCATTAATCAGCACAGCTCTACTGATGGCATTTCTTTAATTTCCCATGGATATTTCCTGTCCTTCAGAAGTTCCTCTGAATCCTTATTATTTTGGGGGTATGTATGCATCT